AAGAGAACCGTTTAAAAAAAAAAAAAAAAAAAAAAATATATATATATATATATTATAGTCTAAAATACTAAATATTAGACTGATAAAAAATGACACACCAATACTTTTTTCTGACTCTTTCGGCATGTTGCATTATTACGCCATTAGATGGTGACAATTGATTGTCTTTTTGTGTGAATCAATGAATCATTCACTTAAACGATTCGCTCAGAATCACTAATTCAAGAACGAAACAAGAGTCATTGAAATATTAATTGTAACAATTTGTTCAAAATCACTGATTTATTCAGAATCGAAACTGCCGTGAGACATTGAATCATTTACTTTACAGATTCGTTTAAAATACTAACAAGGACTTTAATACTAATCCATCCAGGAACGATACAAGCCAGTGTATTTGTGTGCGAGTCATGGAATCATTCCCTCAAACGATTCGTTTTCAAAACAAGGATTCACGGTTGTTGATCGGTGACGCAGCATTTGATTCTGTTTCCACGGTGGGTCGAAACTGGAAAAGTAACTGGCAATATCTTGTCTGAAATGTAAGTTACTCAAAGTTGACTTCTTGTTTATGCCACGGTGGTCTAAAAGCAATACCATAATCGCCTAATTATATTTTAAATGAATTTTAATCTGCAGTCAAACGATAAACCAATACATTAAAGGCTAAACCGCTCTCCATTCAATGGAAAAAAGCACGCTAACATTTTTATCAGGCTCTCTTCAGTGATTTAAGAAATGGTAAAGATCTTTTTTACAACCTGAGGGGCCTACTTCTTTTTAACAGGACATTGTTACTAAAAACAAAGCTATACTTTATAAAAAAAAAACATTCATTTGATATTTGATTGAAATACACCATTACGGTTTCATTAGCTCATCGATTTAGCGGTAATCTCATATCAGAGACCATCAAGCAAGTTACATGCAATAACCTGGGGCTAAATGTTAAAATATGATCCAGACTAGCTAATGACCCTATTACAATCGACCCAGGAAGCTGAGAAAGAGATTCTCCAGGTTCTAAGGTGCCTCATGCAGGCTGCCCTCTGCTGTAGCATCATCCTTACTATTACAAACCGGCACGTAATTCATCCAACCAACACAACTAATAATGTAGCAAATGAAAAAGAGAAGATGGAAGGGGAAAAGCCCTCCATGTCGCCCATATTTTTTCTTTTCCTCTCATTGTCCGTCTCTTATCTTTCTTCAGCTCTATGATGTAAGAGGTGAGTGTCCACCACCAATGACCTATTAAATTAGTCTTCATTCCCTCAATTTCTTCGCCAAACAGGCACCACACCAAAATGTCTGTAGAGACTGACGGTCAGAGAGAGAGACAGCACACAGGCAGACCGACAAATAGGGAGAGAGGAGGGACGAAATAGAACCGCCCAATCAAAAATTATTGCAGCTCCATGAATGTGTCCTGTAAATGTTGGCATGCTAATTGTGCATTTATAACATTTTTTAATGGTTTGTTAATTTACCTCCCACTCTATGATTGCACTTGAAATGAGTTAATGACTGTGGAGGGAGAGTTAACAACATGCCCTGGCAGACACAATATTTCCCTCTTATTTATCAACCTGGCCTGGGAGGGAGCCTGAGCAGCTTTGATTGAATGAAGAGGATGCCTGCCGGGTGAAGAAGTTAAGCTATAGGGACATATATAGACCAGAACTGTAAAAATAGAATTCATGTTTTAATTTTCTTTTACCCCTAAAAAAAATATAATAAGACATAATTATGAAAACTGCATTCAGTTGGATAACAATTTTGCCTTTTTAAACATAAAAAGAAATTGGAAAAACAAAGCAGTCACGCTATCTAAACTAACAACACACCACTAACTTAACTAACTTAACAACACACCACAGTGTGAAACACTAGTAAAAAAAAATCTGTTTTTCTAAATCCTAATATTAGCTATAATTCAAAACAGACTCACTAATCAGCATTAGAGATGCTACTTTGAAACTGTATAGTGCAAATTACAAGCTAATACTAGTTATAAGGAAAACAATTTCATATTATTAAAGGATCAGATTTTCAAACATTAGAATTTAAACCATTGTTTTTTTTGTTCAAAATATGTATTTTATTTTCAACACATTTAAGGGTTAAACTACAATCACAAGTTTTAAAATTTAGCTACATTACTAGGTACTATTACCTATTTTGTATATATTATACATACCTATTTGTATGTATATTTATATACACTGTATATATATGTATGTATACATGTATGTGTGTGTATGTATGTGTGTGTGATTATTACACTTAAACACAATAAATAAAACTAGACATGCTTCAAGTTCTACAACAAAGTCAGAAGCATAGCAATTTTAGTGAATGTTTAACTTAGTATTTTGATATAAAAAATGAAGATGAAGTATTCCACAGAGAGTGAATTGTTTATTTGAACTTCTTGATTTTCATGAGCCTGGTTTATTAAAATGAACCAGATTTCCCAATTCTACATATGAAAGAAAGCACAGTGTAGGAGAGTGCATTTTATTATACGCTACACAGTAAAGCTGTGTGTTGAATAAAAATGACCTAAAATAGTAACCTTACTGAAATGACTACTTTCACTACTTCTAGTTATTTACTGCCCAAGACTGGCCTTCTTAAGCATAAAGCATGTCTGACGGTAACATTGACGTATGACCTGCATGCAGTGAATATCGGGAAATGAATAAACAAACACATAAACTAGATAAGAGACTGGTGCTAATATGGTTAGTAACGTCTCTGGCACTGTCCATTCAAGTCATTTCCTCCAATCTTCCTCAGCAACAGGACATGACTTGGCGACATATAGACGAGAGGCTATTGAGTTGCTAGACTACTTGTGCTGTAACCCGGGCAATGAGACAGAGAGCAATGCTCAGCAGTTCAGCTGGAATCCTAAACACATTGCAAAGGTATGTTTGTGTTTCTTAGGCTATTTGATGATACAATTAAAGACAATAAGTCCCATTTAAACTTCAAAATGTATCAATAAGGTTGATGCTCAAACCTTCAATTTGCATAACTTTTCAATACTATTAACATCTTTTCATCAAGGCTGAGATCTGACCTGAATAGAGAGCGAAATGACTCGGGAGGCACTTTAAAGCAACACACTCGTAACTTACTCCACTGGAACTCCACTCCACCCCTCACTAAACAAGCCACTCTATCAGTAAATGCTAATCTCCTAATTAACAAGCTAATTAGGTAATTATGGCTTTGCAGAAGGATGCCTAAATGAATTATGACAACACAGTCACTGCTTTCTGAGACACCTGTGGGCCCCTTTTTGGCTGTCACAAAAAAAAAAAAGTAAGGTGACAGCCTGTTCAGTTTTCAAAAACTTAATTCTCCTGAAAAAAAAGATGTGTATGTTAGGAGACGGGCTATTTGTTTTGAGACTGTCAATTAAACCTGTCAGATAAGAAAGATTTTTTGACTAATTAGCACCCCTATATGCATAAATAAGCGATAAATAATTAAGTGTTATTAAATACTGAAGACATAAAAAGGAGCTATGAACAGTAGTATTGCGCTAGATTTTTATTAATTTTTAAATAAACAATAAATAATATCTACATAATTATTTACATCAATAATATCTACATCATTATTTAACATACTTTTCTTATGTAACTTATTTTTATGGACCCTTTTCACAAAATTTGATGACACATTTTACAGTTATTAATCCTTGCAACATTTTTAATATTTTATTTTTTTTAAATATGTACTGTACATTTATAAAACTATACCTAGTGTTACATTTTAAATTTCAGAAAACTAGTTAATGCTGCTGCATAAGTGTTTCTAATACAATGACTGAGGGAATGCCAGGAATTGGACATCTTTCACTCTTTCAACCAACTTAATCAGTCTCTATTTTTTTATTTTTTTTATTTGTAGAAATGCTATCATGGATTTTTTCTTTTGCTTTTGGAACAAATAGGAACTCAAAAATTCTATTTGTTGTAGTTTTCGTTCATCACTATAAAAGTTTACCCAACTATGATGACTTCCTCTTCTGAGAACCCTGCAAATGTGAAAAGGGTCTGTTATGCTTTTAATGTTTTATTATATGATGTCTGATAAGATTGTGATGCAGAATCTGGTATACGCATACCAGATTCTGCATCACAATCTTATCAGACATCATTATTGCAATATTTATTTATTTGTTTTTTTGCAAAAGTTTTTTGCGGTCGACTTTTTTGGCATGACAAATGCTAAGACAATTTATTTATTTATTTATTTTTTTTGTGGATAATGTTTTTCTCTCCAAAAGTAAGAGTAACCACTTGGGGTGAAAAACTAGTATGTGTAGGGTGCTCATTGCAGTACGCCTTGTGTGCTCATTAGTAAAAAATAATCCTGAATGGTGGGCTTCTGTCCAAGAGCAATAATATTAACAGTTACTACTGATGACAGTGAGGTTACAATGGCCATATTTGGGAGAAACTTCGGCTGATATTTTCAAGAATCTCAGTATATAGGCGTACTGCGCTTTAAGTTGGCTGAAGCAAGTGGGCAGTAAACATCCAATAATAGAAATTGTGTTTATGTCATTATGTAAGCATGGCATCATGACCACAATAAGCTGAAGTGTCTTTTTTTCCCCTCCCACCAAAAGATTTGCTGTCATACTTGGGGAAAATGAATTCTGTTGACATATGGCTGAAAACAATGGTGGAAAGGCATGCAACGTAAGGCAATGAAGAATCATGCGGTGTTGTGGAGGAGAGGATCTGGAGCTGTTCCTTTGAGCCCTCTATGACAGGTATACAGAGCCACCTGACAGCACAGTATTTCAGTGATAAATGCAGTGGGTCTGGGACTTTCATTCACTAAACTCAGGAGTGTGCTGGGCTGATACTTCAAGGTCAAGTGAATATGAAAGAGCTGTACCACACAGCCTGCTAAAAAGAACGAGGGAGCAAGCGCCTCTTGTCTGCTTCCTAACTTCGACAACTTCTAAATGTTATGTTGTTTAAATTCATGTGATGTGCTTATAAACACAGATGTTGTGTTACAGCGTCGTTTCGTGATTTTTGGATGTTTGTGATTTAAAAAATTCATAATCTGTCAGTATAAACCCATGCTATATTCAATCTAGTTCATTTACACACTGATAATAAAAACGACAGCGACTATATAAATGAAGGTGAAACACACACACACACACGCACTCAGTCGCAGCCAAAACAATTGAATTACAGTGCTTGTGGCATGTTGTCTTACTCTGTGATATGTGTGAAATGGTTAATTAAAGGTGAGCTCATTATTCTTGCTCAGGATCCAGTAACTGTGTTAACATGATCCATGACTAATATATCAACCACTTATTGCACCCGAAGAATTTAATCAATTGCTCTGAACACCAATTCATACACAAGAGTTGAAGTAAATATGCCACTATAAATTCTACTGTTTGATCTGTATTGTTGAGGAGGATTGATGTGTAAATCAAAAGCCAATGGTTGTGTATTAAATATGGTGCTTATATCAAACTATTACAGAACAACATCATGTTGTAGTGTATTTAGGACCATATAGCCGATATTGTCAGTCTGATATAGCCTAAATGTCACATTAAATTACTCTACATAATGGAAGATGTAACTCAAACATTTATATAATATTTCTGTATTTATCTGTTAAAAAAGTAATTCAAAATCCAATGAAATTCTAAACAAATTCAGAACAAATATATTAAACAAGTTAAAACAAGTGTGTGTGTGTGTGTGTGCGTACATAACCATATTTTTGGGACCAATATATATATATATATATATATATATATATAGGTCTATGGAATGTCCCCATTAAGATAACGAAATGTCTGTGTAACATTCACTCAAGTTTATGCAGAAAATATACAGCAAATTCACTTTAGTTATTAAATTATGCAGTTTATGCAGCAAATATACAATATACACTGTCTTTTTTTTCTTTTTTTGCAAAGTCCACAGGTACTTTGTAAACGAGGTTAAAAACACTTGCCTGTTGGAACAGATTTTTAACATATAGATGAAAGACTTGTGTGGATGTTATATATTAAACTGAACAATAGAAACTGCTGATTCAGACCAGTTCTGTCACTTAACATTTATTAACATAATCACAAAACAAATTATAGACCAGACATGAAATAATTTTTAGTTTTAACTTCTTAAAACTGTAGTAAAAATGTGTTCATATTTAATAAGTGAAATGATCTCAATCCGTTACAGCACTTTGTGATCTCATTATTCTATAATCAAAACCATGTCTACATATATGTACTTACATTTTGGCATCAAAATAAATGCTATAAATTGAATATCATGACGCTCCAGGCATGCTGACAGATGCTTCTGTGCTTTTTGCATTGTTTATCCTGAACTGGCTCATCCCAGACGAAGTTTTGATTTTCTGCATATCTGATTATTCACTCTTTAATTAGCCTGTGTTAATTTCCCGTGTTGAGCGTGTCAGTGATGGAGGCAGTCCACTGGGCCTTCAGTCAGATCATGCACTATGGAACGGGACTTTCTGGTGCCAACTTTCACAAATTCTCAGCGTAGCATCACATGTTGGTGCCTTTGGAAGGGTGTCTGATTGACTTTCTTACTGTGCAAAAATTAACAGCTCTGTTTCCTCGGTATGTGTCTCTAATTCTTGGTAATTAGTCCCATCACATCAGTGGCTGTCATGTCACAAGTGCCACCCTGCCGAAATGCATTACCTCAGCTATGGCACCAGAGGATTTCACAATGAATACACAATGTAACCTGTAGGTACATACAGTGTCTCGTGGCAAAGTGCAACTTTTTTCACTCACAAATAAAATGAAATTGGCTCATTTGTAACAACTGATTAAATTAGCTCAATAAATATTGTCTGAATGCTTTCGACCACTAAATATAGATTATTACAACATTATTGAAATAGATGAAATTAAAAATATGCATCAATGCAATAAGCAGTAGAAAATTAAAAAGTTGAAGTTTCTCATAGCCTAAAGATGTGAACTGTAAACTTTAATAGAATGAACTAGGCAATGAAACAAGTGCTTTTAGTAAAATATAGCCTACACATAATCAAATAATAAAAATATGTATAGTGGAGTTAGCATATCTATCTATCTATATATATATATATATATATATATATATATATATATATATATATATATATATAGATTTCTT